CCAGGATTGCTTTGCCTCTCTTTCCTTTAGTGGATATCAACGCTGCATTGAAAAGATTACTCTGGCTCTGTTAGACATCCTTTAATTGGAGAACTGCCCAGATCCTGCTAATCCCATACCAAATAAACATAACTTGCGGTTTGTACTAACTGTAACCTTCTACTTTAGAAAGTGTGGGTTCAGCACTTGGCTACTTGGTGAGCCAATGGTTATCAATGGCTATAGACTGTATTTCATACTAAGGAAGCTAAGTTCTTCATGACTCTCCCAGTTTCTCCCCCTCTTCCTTCTGGGGTGCTGGTGCCTGCTAGGCAGGTGCTCTAATTTAACCACACACCCGCGTCCCCAGCTTCCACAGTTCTTATAAATCAGCAAGTCACTCTGAACCTCCCCTTCTGTTTTCCTTCATTTTGGAAAAATTTGGTCCCAAGAGCATAGGATCAAAGTTGAGGGCTGCGAGCAGCATTTTAGGAAGAGCTCACCGCAATCAGGGTTCGCAGTCAGGGTTCGAGCCTCCCCGCTTGCTCCTTATCTCGCATGCCCGTGCGTTTATTTAGTAAAAGAGGATGTGAAACCTACCAGTTCTTTTCTTTCTGTTTTTCCAGAGCAGATGAAAATGTGACCTCTCACTCTCTCTCTTTTTCCTTCCGTTCTACGAAGGCAAGTTCTTATTTTTTTCTCAGAGCATTTTTGCCTTTTAAGCACAAGCCACCGGTGTTCCCTTACTAAACTGGAAAAAAAGCTCACTTTGGGGAAGTGAAAATGGGGCAGGGGCAGAGAGCACCACGTGCTTCCTTCGGTTCAAGAGACTCGCGTGGGCCCAGGCTCAGCTGCTGCTGTTCCTCACGGGCAGCAGTGGGTTCGAGCTGCAGCGCTGGTCAGGGGAGGATTAGCTAGAGAGAAGGCTTCTGCTCGAGACCTCGCTTGGGTGACACCACCACAGCTAGGCAGGCCAGCTCGGTGCACTCGTTGGAAGAAAGACTGTGCTTTTGTGGAGAGCTGGGCCAGGATTTCTGCTTCAACCCCCAGCAACAGATTCTTCTGGTGCCATAGTGAAAAGCCATTCGGAAAGTGGACTGTACATGCAGCAAATAGGATTCCGGGTAAACGGTGACATTTGTTTCCAGAAGTGTATCAGAGGGGAAGCTAAGCTCTTCAGAGCATGTGTTCATTAAAGATTTGAAGTGGGGTGGGAAGCAATAAAAAAAAAAAAAAAGGCCACTGGGTTCTCTTGTGAGATAGTTTTTGTTCCTATGAATTGAATACACTTTGAAAAGTTTCAAAAAGAAACTTGGAAGAATGTGTTTGCTTTGATCTAAGGTGTAGAGTGTTCCCCTCTGCAAATGCCCCTTAATTTAGAAACAGTGTTGAAAAATCTGAAAGTACATAAAAATATATGTAAATAAGCTCTAATTAGTTATTTCAATTAATTATTTTTTGTCTGTACTTTACAGTTCTTTTTTTCTTCTCATAATGTTGCTTTTCAGAGGCCAGCTTTTGGCACCTTCTGAAAACTGTTTTTTAACAGTCATTATTAAGAAAACACATTTTTTTTCCCTGTTGAAAACCTCACAGTGATAAAGTAAAATCCCAGATCGTGTACCTTTATGGAGAATTGTTTCAGACTTTTTTAATCCATGATTTGCTAGTGTGTGATATTTAAGGAAATCTTAATTGAAACAGTGGTGTTTCCTTCTTGAAATAAATGGTATGGTTTGTTTTTTAGAAACGAGTCTACCTAAGATCACTAACCAGCCTCTAACCTTCTTTCCCAGCAATACCACAGCCTTTGAAAGACAAATACATTCAATCTGGAAATAAAAAGTTTTAATTCTTTCAAAGTTGAGTAGGATACTTTCCAGAGGAGATAAAAATGCTCTGGAAAAACACTGGTAAAATGAATTCAAGTTGTTTCTACTACCCAATTCTTAAAAAATCAACCAACAACCTGACCTGAAATATTGATTTTTGGAAGCCTGGAAAGTAAACTGTGACAAAATCATGAGCTTTTCATTGAGCAGTCTGCCTGCCCTCTGCTTGCATTGGATAGGATCAGTTTTTCAGAGCTTGGAGGGAACTAGAGGTCACTTAGAAATCAGGGAGTTAGCCTCCGCTTTTACCCACCAGGGACTCTGGTGGAGAGTGGGGGAGGATGCTTATTAGAAATCTGAATTCCCGGTCCTTACCCTTGATTTGGAAAATCAAAATCATCATAGGGGAAGCATCAATGTTTTTTACAAACATCTCTATCAAATGCTTATGATCACTGAATCTGACAGTCCACAGAGAGTCCAATCTGACAGTCCAGTCTGACAGAGAGCAGGCCCAGTGTTCCTGACTCTAGGCTCTGCGGGCCCAGAATGGCCATAGGCACGCAGAGTCTGGGTTCACTTCAGGACTATGAGGGTGACCACAGCATAACAGCAGGCTAGCATGGTTCTAGACAGGGGGGAAGGGAAAGACACTCAGCTCAGAGGAGCAAGAACATCAGTGCTGCTGCTTTTGTCTGAGCTAAAACCTGGATGAATGAATCCTAGCTGTGTTCCCTACCCCTTCCCATCTTTTATGAACCCAGAGACCTATGCAGTGTTGTGGAGTGTTTAGTTCATTTAGTTAGCTTACACATTTGTTGCCCAGCTCTGGAGCGGCGTGTCTCTGGAGCTGTGTACCCAGTCAATATAGGTTTAGGCTCTATCTTTCTCTTAAATGCATATTTGTATATTTTGATATTGTATATTTTGTGTCCAGAAAATGATAACAACATCTTTATAGACTAATAAACCCAGTCATACCTATGAATGATTATATAAATATCCAGCAAAACTTACTGATATTTATTATATGCAAAATTCAAGCAATCAAAAAGCTAAGATAACTTAATATTTTTTCAGGGTTCTATGGTAAGATTGAATTATGATGATCCTGAATTACTGCAAGATCATGTCACCTCCTAAGATTAGAAAAGGCTGAATTATAGTCATATCATTTTAATATTAACTAAATTTGACTATCTGCTAATTTTTGGAAACTGCAATATCCCTGTGTCTAGGATATACCAGCTTTCACTGAACCCTATCCTATAGCCCATAGATGGACAAGTGTCTAATATACAATATGCATGTTTCAGCAGCAGTACTAATAAAAGTAGGCTGCTTCAAGAGCCAGGAGACAGGGCTAAAAGGATCAAGTTTGGAATAACCATTGGCATTAGTCTCTTCATATGTGTGTGAGTGTACATGTGCTGACCAGTACACAGCCTATCCTGTCCACATAAACATTTACTGATTGTTATATGTAAAAGCTCTGTGTTAAGTGCTGAAGGTAAAAAACATTTCTAAGATGTTTATAGCGTGACTGTTTTGACAAGCCCATAAAAAGACAGGACAGTTTAAGAAAGCACATGCTAAATGCCAACTGAGTAATGCAGTCTGCAAGGACAGGAAATGGCATTCCAGCGTTCCCAGCCCTGGGGTTGTGACAGATTGGTCAAACAGAAGTTTGTTCAATTCTGCCTTATCTTTCACACATTCTTTCTCCTTCCTCAACCAGCCGGAAAAACAGGAGCTTATAATGTTTTTGTTGCTACTCAGTAGTAATGAAATGCATTGGAGGGATCCATTTAAGTAGAATACTAACATTTATTTACTACCTTTCTTTTTGTGGTACTGGGAATCAAGCTCACAGCCTTGCACTTGCCAGGGAGATGCTGTGCTGCTGAGCGATATCCCCTGCCCAACTATCTTTCAATACTGCTCATATTAAAACACAGTAGGATCCAATTCTGTTTCTGGAGGATGTACTGTGAAACTGAATATTAACCCCAGCTTATTTATGATAGAAGTGCTTTGCACTTTCGTGATAGTTTTATCCTGGGAGTTCATGTGGATCAGTATCTTAGGTTTGTAGTTTGTTAAATAAATGTATTTAAGCATCTTGTAAAGGAAGAAATGGGGTGCCACCCTGACCATTACATTATCATATTTTCATGCCCACATTGTGAAATAGTATCAGATCTCTGATTAATACTGTTTCTGGTACTCAACCATGCAAAGTTCCACAGAGAAAGATTTCTAAAATGAAAACTGAGGGTCAGAAATATCAGAATAATGAGGGGCTTATATATCCTTGATTGCTTGCCACGATTTTGTCCTCTGGGGTGATCATGACAGTGTTTTCATGCCCATCAGTAGAAGGTCATAACTCCTATTGAAGTAATGGCTTCCTTGTGGAAGGTCATGACTATTGCCAGATTACCTGACTGCACATGGACAGTGCTCACAGAATTATGAACTTGGTGGAATATCAAAAGGAGATTAGCAATCAGTTGCCAGCAATCAGCAGTCTTGAATAAGGGGCCAGATTTGCCAAAGCAGAGAGCAGAAAGGTGTATAATGTGTGCTGTTATGTGGAGGGTATGTGTACACTGAGTTTATCTAGGGGGCAATGTGGGAAGTTCTCTGACTGGAATAAAAGATTGTATTTTCATTGCAGATGGGAAGGAAATATGTAGGTGAGTAAGTGGTCACATACATATCATGGGAGGAAAAGTTGGAAAGGTGAGATGGGCTCAGTCAAAGACCCAATTCCTTACACTGCTGTTGTAAGCAAAAGAAGGTTACATGTCAGACAAACTTTGAGCCCAATCCACACTCCCATTTCTTTATCAGTAAAATGGAGCTGACAGTATATTCTTCAGAGATACTGTGTTGGTTAGACAAGAGTGCATGTACAAATAGAGTTCTGAAGAAGAAAACGAGGAAATAAAGGGTTTGTAGAGAAGCTGTGCACAAAACAGATAGAATCAGAAGAGACCCAGGATGGAACCAGTTGGGTGACACAGTAAATCTCCAGGAAATGAGGTGGAGCCCCTAAGGCTAGAAAGACAGGAACACATCTGCATCTATTCTCTGCAACTTCTTTCACTTATCTAGAGGGTAGTGTAGGCTTGTTCTGTGGTATTCAAAGTGCAACAATCAGACTTCTCCTCTTGCCCTGAACAGGATGCCAGCGCTCTATAGGCCTTTCCAATGGGAAAGCCAAGGTCTGCAATTACAGCGGGTGGTACTACTGCAGCAGCTGCCATGTGGACGACAGCTTCCTTATCCCAGCTCGCATAGTGCACAACTGGGATACTTCGAAGTATAAGGTAGGTGCAGCACCGGCTTGGCTTGATGGTAGCAGTCAGGTGTTCGTTTGTGGTTAAATGAGTTTCAAGCTGATAAAACAATTCAAAACCAACTTCATTAAGTAGTCTCAGAAAAGCGTTCAGTTATCTCATTCTTCATACATAGCTCACAGTTTAGAGACCTCCTAATGATGACTCACTAATTTTCTAATGAAGAATAGATAGCAGTTTTTACTTCTAGGCCTAAGAAACACATTTACTATAATTTACTGTGGGCACCAAGAGCAAATTCTAATGGAGAAAGTCCTCATTGTTTATTAGCCCTCACCTCCAGCATCACAACACTATGGGAGGATAAAAGTAGGGAAATAATGTATGAGCATGCCAGTAATCTTTAGAGAAGGCATATATAGTCCATGGGTTTTGTTATTGTTGTTTTTTGAGACAGGGTCTCACTATGTAGTTGAGGCTGGCCTTGAATTTATGTGTATCCCAGGCTGGCCTTGAACTTTTGGTGATCCTCCTGCCTCAGCCTCCCAGCAACCCAAGGTATTTCTTTCAGTCGAGTAGCATGGGAAGGTCAATCTTTACACACTCAGGGCCCTAGGACTGGAATCTTGAGAGAAGCAATGAAGGTGCCTAGGTGACAACCCACAGAAGGAACAGTGCACTGAGCTTCCTGCAAAGGAAATGGGGTACAATCCTGATCACTACGTTGGACTAGTATTTCTTAAAGAAGGGGAGCAAGTGAAAAGCATAGTTGTATGCGAACAGCTTTGCAAAGTAGCTGCTCACAGACAAGAGGTGCAGCTAGCAGGTTCGTTAGATATAAAAATACACATCAACAGAAGAGAAAGAGTGAGGACTTGCTGGGATATTGCAGCTTAAGAAGACAGAAGAGAGGCAGAGGAGGCCAAACAGGAGTGAGCAGTGAAGTAGAAGGGTCCAGGCTATCTGACAAGCCCGTGAAGCAAGCTATCCCGGATGACTTGTGACAGATGCTGATAGGTCACAGAAGATGAGCACTGCGGCGTGACTGCCGCTTTCCTAATGCAGAGGTAATTAGTGACCTTAATGAGAGCAGTTTGAGTGGAGTGGTGGGAGCAAAGGTCTGATTGGAGTGGGCTCAACATAGAATAAGAAAGAGACATGAAAGACAAGAACGGGCAACTCTTTTGAGCAGTTGTGCACTAAAGGAAAGGACAGAGATGGCGAGTAACTCAAGGGGAAGTGGGTCAAGTTCTGTTTGATTGTTTGTTTTAGTGGAAAAATAACAGCATATTTTCAGTAGGACTGTGAACTACCTAGGCGAGAGGAGAGATGCTAGCAGGCTGAGGTTGAGTCTATGAGCATGGACTTGCATGCATAGGAGGAGGGCTTGGATGTGGATGCAGGGCAGGTAGATGTGTCGTTGGGGCTAACGGAAATCCTCCTCCCTCTTTATCAGTAGCTTCTATCAGATCCTGTGGTTTCAGCATCTGCCATCTTCACTTAGTAAGCTAGTTCCGGCATTTATCTTCTACTTTACAAGTAAAACTGGGATGATGATGCTGTGGTTCCATCAGCTCACCTACAAACTGTCTACATCTACATCCACTGTTGTCTTCTTGCCAGTGACAGAAGAAACCTCACTCTTCCTACAGAAGGTTTTGCCTTTGCCTTTGTTCATGGCCTTATCTCTTCTGTATTGTACTTTTGCCAAATCTGGCTGACCTGCGGCAGGTTTTAGTCTACTGGGCTTCTGTGGTATATAGTATTTGACCAGATGGGCCGCCCACACTCTCCTTGAATTGTTCTGTTTTAGCCTTGATAACACATCCCTGGTTTTTCTCCCTCTTAATCACTTTCTCTGACTTCCTGTTTTCTGCCTATACCCCTAAATTTCTGTTTTGGTGTTTTGTTTTGTTTTGGTACTGGGAATCAAACTTAGGACCTTGCACTTGTCAGGTAGGCACTGTGCCACTGAGTTGTATCCCCAGCCTTACACCCTTAATATGGAGGTTCTCAAAGTTTATTCTTTGGATTCTTGTTTCCATTGCATACTCTACCTTTTATGATTTTTTTTTTTTTTTTTTTGGCAGTCTAGTGTCTTGTATGCTAGGCAGATTCTCTACTTCTGAGCTACATCTCCAGAGCTTGTGATTTTTAAAAAAAAATTTGTTGTATATGTTTACAGTACATGATGATTACATTCATTGTGGAGAGTTGGTGCATATACATTTTAATTCTTTTTTCATCCCCTTCCCTTCCTACTTTTGACCTTTCACCAACTGAGATTGATATGCTGCTGATTCCTCTTTTTTTATCTCGAGTTTTGTGACTGAAATCAGTATATGGTTTAATTGACCAATAGATATCTCAGTTTTAGTTTTCAGCCTAGTAGTCCTCAGGATATTTTAATTGGTTAGCTATTTGTGTAGCACTGTCAACACCATGTAAATGCAAATCCAGGAATCTAACTCCCTGTTGAAGTGGAACTCTAGGCTTAGGATTCTGTCCTGGTACCATGTCTTACCCATATTAACAGAGAGCATAATTCTATTACTCAGTGGGTAATTCACTCATTCACATATTCACTGGCCCCAAGTCTGCATTCTAATCCTTCTTGGCATCTGACCTTGTCTCCTACTGCAAGAAGAAAACAGAAGTTATGAAATGTAAATATGACTCTATCTGTATTTGTACATATCTTTACTATTTTCCTAACCTAGGAGAAAGAAAGAGCACTTTCTTCTGTGTATCAGTCATTCTACATGTCTCCAGATGTGTTTACCCATCATTTTTATGTATCATTCTTTGTTTTTGTTTTGTTTTGTATGTACGTATGTATTCAAGCAGAGTCTTGCTGTGTAGTGTGGGCTGGCCTCAAAGTTGCTTTTGTAGCTCAGGCTAGCCTCAAACTCACAGTGATCCTTCTGCCTCAACCTCCTGAGGACCGATTACAGGTGTGCACCACCATGACTGGCTTATATATTGTTCTTCCAGCACAATAAAAGAGCATTTTCTGAGTAAAGCCCGTGTTTCTTCCCTTCCCTCCCTACTTGTGGCTCATTTTCTCACCACCATCGTATCATGGGCCTAGAGAGTTGCATGCTCTTAGAGGCTAAAAGCGGGAGCGTCCAAGGCATACCTCTTCCTGTTATTAGGTGTTTTATTAACTATGGCAAGTTCCTTGAATTTTTCTGAGACCCACTTTCCTATTCTATAAACTGAGGCCAAACTGCCTGGGTTCAAGTCTTGATCACTTACTAGTTGTAAAATTTGGGTAAGTTATTTCAACTCCATGTTTCAGTGTCCTCATCTGTAAATGAGGGTAAGAATACTGCAGAGGGTCACTGCTAGTTTGGTGGGTTCAAATGTGATCTTTTTAGATAGTGCCTAGCACAAATAAGCATTTGTTCTTTTTGTAATTTTACAGTTACCTAAAAGAGGATTGTAACCTGGGATTAAAAAACAAAAGGACTTAGCAAATGACTATGCTAAACACTTAATGAACAGAAGATGTTAGTGTTTTCATTATCATCACATTTCTATAACAGCTGGTTGCTTGTCTGTTTTCTGTAAAGAGAGACTCCCCAGGCACAGGAAATGTGTCTTTACATTGGTTCCTAGGATATACCTCGATATATGATGCATGCCTCTTGGGCACCTCAAATTTAATATGCCCGCTCACTAAGTGCCCTCCCAACTGTCGATTGACTGCCAGAGTCACGTCCGCCAGATCTGGGAGGCCTCCTGGACTCCTCTCCTGCCACAGATACCTGGCCTAACCAGCAAGCAAGCATTGGCTGCATCAGCTTAGGTCCTGAGATCAAGTGCTCCCCCAACCTCCAGTTCCATTACACCAACTTGAAGGTTTAGTGTCACACATGTGAAAAAAGCCATTAACTTCCTCATGGTGCTTCTTACACCCGATTCTTGCCTCTTGTGGTCCTTCTCTTACCCTGGGTAAATGCCTTATCCTTTTCTAGTCTTAGTTTCTTCACCTTTATGATAGAAATAATAGTACCTATTTCATAAGGTGGCTGTTTACCTAAGTGAATGAGTGACAGAGCACCTAGCATCGTGTGTGGCCCGTAAGTCCTGGTTTAGGGCAGTTGTTACTGTGATTGTCTGTAAAGTAAGTATGCTTCTCTTGCCTGGTATATGTAGCCTTTTGTGCACTTGCATCTCTGCCGGTCTTTCTAGCTATTTCATTCCTTCTCCATTAATCTTTTCATTGAGATCATATCTATGCTTCCTGTTGCCCGTCCTGCCAAGCTATTTCACACCTTTTGGCTTCTTCTTCTCTCACTCAGCCCAGCAAATTCCAAAACCTACCTTGAATCTCATTTCCTCTCCTAATACTTTGCTTCCCTCTACTAGACAGAATTATCACACTCTCCCCTGCATCTTGTACTTGACACTCTAAATATAGTCTATAAATACATTGGTCCTGTGCATATTAGATAAAAACATACTTACTGGGAGACAAGTCTGGTTGAGTTTGTTTTAGGGTTAGATTAATAGGCTTAGCAAAGGGCTTTGACAGCTGAGTGTGCAAAGGAAATGAGTGAGGCAGTCCCTGCACTGTGACTGCATGGCACCTGCCAACAGAATACGCATCAGGGAGCAGAGCAGGAGCAGATAGGTGGCTCTGACTGGGAAAGCAAAACCTGAGGCAGGGGTTCCGGAGGCAGGCCCTAGGAGGAGAGACCCGGGTCCCTGTGCACGGAGTTCTGAAGGCCCCAGAAACCATCGAAGCGGCTATCACCAAACCTGCAGTCCTTCTGTAATGCAGGCTGTTGTGTTGTGGTGGTTCAAGTAACCGAATCGGATTTTGAGAGAACAGATAACTAATTAAAGATGTATCTTAGGTACTCTCACTTCATCCATGCTGCACATGAGGAAAATCTCCTGTGTCAGGTCACTGCTTCCCACATTCTCAGAGGACCAGGGGAGATTCTAAAGCAGGAACTATCTGGTCACTTTTATCTGGATCATCCCACTGCATTAAGTAACTGTTCCATTTAGCTCAGTGT